TGCTCCAGCACTCGGTGGCCAGATTCCTTGCCCGGATGCAGGTGAGGGGGAGAGAAGAGATGGCAGGGGAGGGGAGGAAAGTCAGGCAAGGCATGGGTGGCCATGGAGCGAAAGGGGCTCCCTGCAATGGCGGCAGTGGCCAGATTCCTTGCCGGGAGCAGACAGGCAAAGCACGTGGGAGTGGAGGGAGGGGAGCCAGCCTGGGGAGGGCCTCTGCCCCACTGCCACCGCATGAGCAGGCGAGGGGGAGAGACCAGACGGCAGGGGTGGGGTGTTACTGTGTGGGGAGAGCCTGCCCGAGCACGGAGAAGTGGCGGCGGGACGGGCAGGGGTGTGTAACTTGAAGAAAAGTTTGTACGTCGAGGAAATATTTTCCTCTCAGAGCGGTTTGTAAGTCGAAAAGTACATAACTTGGGCCGTTTGTAAGTCGAGCCCCCACTGTTCAGCCTATGTTGCCTTGGGCAAGCTGCACCGTTCTAGGAAGCCACCAGAAGAAAGGAATGGTAAATCCCTGCTGGGTATTCTCTACCTGGGAAACCCTAAAAAGGGTTTCCACGTCAGAATTGACTTAATGGCACATGATGATGATGGAATCATACCCATGAAATAATTGGGACTTATTTAATCATGTCTAATTTAGTTACATGACAGAGTTAAGTCTTATTATAAACCATTTCCAGAGCTGCATTAATTTATTACAGAAAAAAAATAACAAGATGATGTAAAGATTATCCCGCACCTTATAATATGAATTCGGGTCAAATTTAGCCTCTCTCATCAGACATGTGATGTGTTCTCCAAAATTTTAGCTTATGTTGTGCTTTTGTTGTTTTATTTTTAGAACTGTTTCTTTTGAGAAATGCAGGTATGCATGACAAAATATTAGGGAATTAGCAAGGCCACTTTTAAAACCTCATCATGTGCCATATGCATGGTCAACAGCAATCAGAAGACCTGGTGACTGTTGGAATTATTTTTAATTAAGCTAAAATCCCTACTGCATACTGCAAATCAGCAAAACATTTCCCATAGTGTCTTGAGGAGTAGACAATTCAGTTACCTAATAGATTTTCAGCTAGTGGGGACTGCAATTAGTGTGTGTGAAAGGAAAATTAGAAGTATAAACCATGATTGAACCAGAGGATTTAAAGGATTGAAAACAAGAGAGAATATTGGGTTGGGATGGGCAGCGGGAGAAGGAAGAGAAGACTAGCATTTTCCTTGCTTTTTGAACAGCTGTCATTCAAAAAGCAGCAAACTTGCAAACAAAATCCCTCACAACTTGAAGTTGCTATGTTGACAGCTAATTTGTAACAGATTCAGATAAAAGTGATGTTCTAAATCCCCTGAATGCCTTTGTTAGGTCTAGACAAGATGCCAGGAAATGTGGGCATGATTTTGAGTTCTACAAAACTCATCCTTAGGGTGTGTGTGTGTTTAGTGGGGGGGGGAATGGGGATGGGGAAAAAAAAAACAGAAGTCAGAAGGATTGTCCAGATATTGTAGCCATTAAGATATCGGCTTTAGTTTCAAGCAGCTGATGGGCAGGACTGCATAAATTACCGGTAGGTGTTACAGCATCAAAGGATACCTAACAGTGCACTGTGGGAGGAAGCAATGGCCGACTTCTGCTGCTGAAAACTTTTAAAGCCGTCCATAAGATCTATCTTTTTTACCCTTGGGTGAACACACTCCATTTGGAGACTGAGGCTAAATTACAGCACATTAACTAGGCTGGCCTGATAGGTCAAGATTGTCCTTAGGCAGCAGCATGAACCTCTACTGGGAATGGGTGGCAGAATGGCTGGCATTCTTCCTACATGTTTGCAACATAACAAGGTTGGAAAAAATAAAGGTGGTGGTGGGGGAGGCTCATTTTTATTCTAATCTTGGATCTCCATCACAGCATGTTGCTAAAAACAGAAACAATGACAGTTCTGGAGCATGGCTTTAGAGCTGTCTAAGGTGAAAAAAGTTAACAGGATCCATTGGCACCTGGCCAATACCCTGGGGGAATTCAGGGCCCACATGGTCTGTCAGAGCACATGCTGTCACTGTATGCTGAATGTGCAACCTTCTAAGAGGCCACTGGGAATTTCGCCATGACTTTTCATGACATGAAGATCTAATCCAGTGGGAGATGGAAGAAATTACGTTTTAGGAACAAAAAAAAATGTTTTGCATGGAACTGAACAGTTTTCTATAACAAATCTGCTTTCCTCTAGGTCATGTTTCCAAAATGCTGAGTTCTTTCCCCCCCGCCCCCTTAGAATCATATGCAAAATGACCTGATGTACTTTGGATAAAAAATTTTACAATTTTCTGACAGGTTCAATGTAAAGTCTGTGCACCAGTTGTTCTGAATCCCAAAGCTGAAATCAATGTACAATGAGACAGAGTTAGGAGGAAAAATTACTTTTTTTGAAACATAACTCCTAGAATCCCCTTAATAGAGGCATACCTCGGTTTACGAATGCCTCAGTTAACGTAATTTTTGGTTTAAGAAGGAAAATCTATTGAAAATAATCCCTTGGTTTACTTTTTTTTTTGGCAATACGAAGCAAGTTTCCCCAGGATGCATTGAGCCTGGGAGATTTATAGTGCCACCCCCATGGATGCGTACCTATGGGAAACTGTGTTCCGGTTTGCAAATTTTTCACAATACGAAATGTCCCAGAGAACACATTGAATTCGTAAACCAAGGTATGCCTGTGTATTAAAATATAACTTTTTCAGGCTCTTCATTTCTGCTGCTATAAAATCCCACTGCATACAGAGGAACATACGGTACTTCTTAGTAAATATGCAAAAGGACATCCAGTGTGGTGTAAGGGTACAGAGTGGTAGACTAGGGCTCAAGATGCCTTGGTTCAAATCCTTGCTCAGCTATGGAAACTCATTGAGGGTGTGAAATTGTTAAAACCCCTCCTTAAATATCTCACTTAATTTGAAAGCCTATTAGGATTACTAGACATCAATTCTGACTTGACACCAACAGAACAAAAATAAATATGCAAAATAATGTAATATTAATGTCTCTTTGTTGTATTAGCTATTAGGTTCTTACCAGCTACTATTTGTATTTATTGGGTGATCTATGTTATTGCATTCCCCTCCCTCATTGAAATCTTATCCCCCCCCATGCTTTAAAATGTACAGGGTAAAAACAGTGATAAAAGAATTAATCGTCCGTCCAAAGGTCTGAATTAACATGTTGCCACTGATGTTTTTTAGCTGCTATGTTTTCCCATTCAGACACAGCTGTGTCTACCTGGTCTCATGTAGCAACACCAATGCGGAGGTGTTCGTGTGTGCGAATAAAGATTGCTTCAATTTCATACTAGGTGGTCCCTCCAGGGGCCCTTCTCCCATGTGTCATCAACAGCTACATGAAACTGTTGAGTAGGTCATCTGGGGACTTGATGACATCCAACTGTTTCTCATTTACATTTCAATTAGATGAGACAGAGGGAGTGCTAAATTGGTGTCAGGGAACAGAACTGACTGGATAAATGCCAAAAAGCTGAAATTTGATCCCAACAAGCCAGAGGTGCTGCTGGACAGGGCCAGTGTGTTTCATCAGGGGGTTGATGTTTATCCTTTTTGACATGGACATGCACTCCTTAAGAGAGCTCTTTTCCTGGATTATGCCACCTAGAATCCCTTAGCCTGTATGACCAACAGCCCAGCTACTGGTGGTGGTGGTGGTGGGGGATGTTTGGGAAGAATCATCCTGGAAAAGAAATTTTCTGAGCTCTGCTAAAAAAAAATGACACGATCCACTGGGACTTGGCTAGGCGCTTGGGGAGCTTCAGGGCCCACATGGCTTGTCAGAACACATCAAGTTTGCAGTTTAGAAGTGCTCATAGATCAGGTTTGGCCCAGTTTTGGAGGCTGAAGCAACCCTGGTAGCAAGGAGCAATTTTTACTAATAGCTTAGGCTGGTCTGCCAACTGCAGTCTTTCTGAAGATGACCCAGAAACTATATAGGGTTTAGAACATGGTTATGGCACTACTAAGAACATTGGGATCCTACCTAGTCAGTGCCGAAATAACTCCACTAGCTTGTGGTCCGTATCCCAGGTCAACTCAAGCTGTCGGCGTTTATTTCCAAAGCCCTGCCTAGCCTGAGATCCACTTACTTGTTGGATTGTTTTAAGAACACTGGAAGCTATCTTATACTGAGTCAAATGGTCCAGTGTTGGTATCGCCACCATGACTGACAGCAGCTCTCCATCCAAGTACTAACTAGGGCTCACCTTGCCCAGCTTTCAAAATTAGACAAGATCGGGTGTGCTCAGGGCAGTTCGGTGGGTCTTGCCCCGTAATAGTTTGCCCAGTCCCAAAGCTTGACACCCGAGGAGGAGCTTTTCTGGCTCCCTCTCCTTGTGAAGTTTGACAAGTGACGCTGGAGGGCAGGGCCTTTTCCCTGGTGGCACACCACGTCTGGAACAGCCCCACCAGGGATGCTCTCACATGTTTACATTGTTACCTTCTTGATGATACCCAAAGGCTCCTCAAAACAACAACAACAAAACCCTGAAGCTTTGAAGATTTTTTTTATTTCTCTCTCTTTTTGAACTATTGTAAAGCTGCTATACCCATCTGGTTTTTTTAAAAAAATCTCTTTTTGTTATTTGCTCAGCCACCTCTGGCGCCATCCATGTCATCTGGGCAAAATAAGTGCGTGGGATCAATCTGGTTGCTTATTGTGTTGCCACTACCCAAAACAAACTGGGCTGTGACTGCATTGCTGTTACACCATAGGGAAGGGGACACGTGGCTCCTTTCACCACTGAGATTTCACCTGTTCTATTAAAACACTCTGGTTTGATGCCACAAGAGGGCAGTCAGTACATGCCACCTATTCCATTAGAATTGGCCACTGATGTCACAATCAAAACTCCTCTAGCCTCAATATACAGAAAGTCCCTCAATGCTCCTAGCATGCAAATGGTCCAATAACTTAAAATTAGCCTTCAGGGATGCCAGACAAGCAATACGGTTGCAATATAGGTCTTGACTTATTTATTGCTTTCTTGTTATACACAACCTCTGTGGTTGAAACAGAAAAGGTCATATCTGTAAAACGTTAGCATTATTTCCACTGCAGCGTAACACTATTTTACAGAATGAGGCTTTGTTTCCAAAGGATTTCCTAATGATTTGCTTCCATACATACATTCTAACCCCAAACTCCCAGGACCTGCCCACCTACCTCTCAGAAAACTCACAGAGGACTGCTTATATGTTAACAAGTCAATCAATATAAGGGTTCATGCCTTGTGACAAGCTGAACCGACAATTACTTTGATCTCTGAGCAGAAATCCAACAGATGTGACCCAGTAAATGAGCACAGAACAGAAGCAAATAAAAAATAAACATTCTGCATTTGTATAAAATGAGATGATAAATAAATATATATATGCATCTTTTATTTTTATATAAACCTCTTGCTTTCAATGTACTATGCTTAAAATTTCTCTTAAAATAAAACTATGTACCTTGATTTCCTGCTTCATTCTCAGAAAACAGAACAACTCTATCTTCCTGTGCAAATAGAACATTTATGCTCCAACATCTACATTATAAAAAAGTTGACTCAAGAGATTCAGTCTTTAAGCAGCAGTCAGCAGACCTTTCCTCCTGAAAACAGGCTGGGTTCTGCTCTGAAGAGTCTCTGAGGTCCTGAGAACGACACCTATGCACAGCCGTACTGTCCCGTCTTTCATTCTGTAAACCACTGGAGAACCATGGGAAGCCACGTCCAAGATCATTAAACAATGGTGTTGATGTGATCCAGTTCAACAAGCTGAAGTCTGACTGGTCTCCCCTTGAGTTCCAGTGGAAAGTTTCATCTCCTAATGTTGGATCCAGCTCAAAAGTGCCTTTGTGAAAACCCAAAGACGTTTCACTCTGACTGCCTATCACTGAAAAATGCCCGTTCTCCTCCCATACCTGAGCACCAAGAGGAGCAGCAGAAATGTTTAAACTTCTTGTAGCCTCTGGGTTTGGTGGCTGAACCAGCTCATTTCCTTGCTGCGATAACTGCGCGGAGTAGTTTTGGTTACAGTTCTTGAGAACCTCTCTAGCAAAGCCATACAGGCTTTCTGGAGAATGTTCAGCACCTGGGTTTTTAAGGGGGTCGGTCTCTTTTTGTGGGTTCCACCTGTTTAGAAGATGGCTGCGAGTGTTTGGCGGCATCCTTGACAACTGGCGTCCAAGTTGAAGCTGGGTTGGGAAAAGTGTCCCTTGAAGTGTCCTGTACAGGAACCTGATGGAGTGAAGGATAGGGATAAGTCAAAGAATGAAGAAAACAAAAGGGACTGAAATACTAATGTACCAATTACCCTTGGTCTGAATGGTGCTGTAGGGATCGCCCACTGCAATGCTAGATGAGGAAGGGTTTTAGGTGAGACTGGGAAACGTTCTTTCTGTCCCCCTCCCAAGCCTGTTCTCTGCCTGCTATATAGTTGCAACAGCAGAAATAGGAATAATGATGATAATGATAGTTATGACACTGCTGCTGCAAACTTTTCAAACAAATCTCCCAGTCAAGCTGGGGGTGCATTTGTGATACACAGATCACTATCTGGAAAGGGAACTCGGTACTCTTCTAGGTGCTGTGCACCTTCCACTATCGACTCCTCTATCACACATCCAACTGGTAGGTTTTTAGCTTTCTTTTTAAAAAAGATTTTTGTACCCACACCTGTTCTGCGTGGATTTCATGGTAAGACTTTTTGCAGAGGGTATTCTTCCAAAATGGAGGATCTAGAGTAGACCAATGGCTGCTGCATGTACATCTCTATGCAAGGAGACAAAGTATGTGTGGAGGTTGTGGGGAGGGCGCAGCTATGTGGCATGACCCTCATCCCTCCCCATGGGGGAACATTTCTATAATACATGACTGCCTCCACAGGGCTCTGAAGAGATATGTACACATAATATTGGTGGGTTTTATCTGTTATGTGACTTAATTTACAGGCTTTTGTTTTTTCTCTGGCAACAAATCTTATTTTCTATGATTTATTTGTTAATCATTTCATAAATTCATTATGGCTAATGGCTAAAACAAGTAGGCACTGATTTTATTTATTTTTATTTATTTTATTAGATTTATACCCCGGTTTGCTAGCTCAATGACGTATTTTGATTATTTCAGCATATGTGTGTGCCTACACTTTCCAGTGCTGTTATAAAACAATGGAAGCTGCAACGTCATAATCACGCCAACCAATATACATTAAAGGAAAAAAGAAACACCCTACCTGGGAAGTAAAGCAACAACAGGTGTTATAAGCCATGTCAGATAAAACTTAGGATCTCCCATCAGTCTTTCCATAATCCAGTAGGGGTTAGATGGATGATAACATACAGGGCAAGATGCATTGTAAAGAAGGGCCACAATGAAGAATAAGGCAATGCTGAAGACACACGATGTCACATGGAACCAAGTCTGAAAGAAAACATAACCACAAGTTAATCTGCAGGGTTCTAACAACCTGGCAAAGAACAATACCCCCCCCCCTTTCCAACCACAGGGGCAAGTGTCAGGACAGTAGATAGACTAGTCTCTAGAGGACATAACTATCTTTTCTGCTGAGAGTGCTCAGCAGCCACAATGAAGTCACCTACACCAGACCACTCCCTTGAAAACTCCTCATGTGAGGAAATTCCTTATTATTGGGCCACACAATATTCTCCTCTAAGCAAATGGATAGTCAGGCTTGTTAAGCTCCAGGATACCATCTGCGCTACAGTAGTGTTACAAGGACCTATTGGGCACTGTCTGTGACATCACTATACAAATCTAGGAATGAGCAAACTCTCCTCAGTTCAGTACAAAATGTAATTAGCAGTAACATAACCCTTTGTGAAGTATTTTACAAACAGACACATCTAATTGTACTATATGATATTAAAAGTTAAGTTCATTGAAATCTGCACTGAATAACACAGAGTTTTCGAGGCTGGCAGGTTGTTTTAGCATTCCCATAAAATGAAGATCTAAATAAAATCTAGACTAAGAGGATAGCTAGCAGAGAAGGTATCAGGAGTCTTTATAAAAGCTACAGGCTGATCAGGATGGGTATTTCTCCACTCCTTATTGAGACAAAACTCAGTGCCTTCCAAGCATCTTTATTTCAAAACTCCATTTTCCTAACCATCACCTGTAACCTTAAGAATCTTCTTTGGGGAAGGCTTGCTCAGCTTTGTCTCGGCAGCAATTAGTGCTCAAAACTAGGATGAACAATAGGTTCAGATTACAAGAAAAAGCACATGCAGTCTGTGCATGGACAGATTCTCCTTTTACACACTGAGTTTTACAATGCCTATTACATGATCTGACATGATGAGTTAGACAAATTCACGTTCCATCCCAGGCAATTATGAAGCTTGGCAGCAACCCTACATTAACGTTTTCATCCGCCTACTAGCCTGATTCTGAATTCTGCCTTCCATTTGACAAATCTTTGTTCCCCTCCCTTATCTTCTTTTCCTTTGGATTAACCCCACCCCACCCCCAAAAACAACAATGCATATTTGAAAACTGCGCAACACTTCTGTACACCAACAGTGCACTTTCACAAATTATGCATTAAACTAGACAAGCCTGGCCACATCTCCTAGCTCTACGTAGTTTGTTTAACCAATGGTTGAGTGATGCAGTCATAGAGGCAAATGAAATCTCTCCTCCACCACCCCACCTTGCCTGGAAAAGACTTTGCCTGCAGAAAGGCTCATGATCTCTGCCTGCTGTTCTGATCTTGGTTCTGGCCTAAGGATCCTGGCTGTATGGAACAGTACTGTTGAAGTGCAGCAGTCCTCTCACTGTTCCACACTGCCAGCAGGGATCCCGAGTGGTTTTCAGGAGTCTTGGACAAGGAGCAGAGGAGAGTCCACTGGAGAAGAGGCAAGATATAAATATAAGAAACAAGCAGTCTTGCATAGTTTCTATACCTAGGCAAGACTGCTTGTTTCTTATATTTATATTATATTTTTATAGAAACTATGCAAGACGGGAGGATGATCTTGTTCAGATAAAAGGCAGTGCTAAAGTTGCAAATGACCAATCCTGCCTCGGATGATTCCTTTGTGTGGACACCAACTGCATGAGTATCTTTAAATGGCTTCTTGGTCATTATCATAGCACAGGAATTGGCCCACTTCCAGTTCAGCAGCGGTAACTGTGGCTTTTGGGTAATTCTCACCTCTTCAAATATTCTCTGTGTTCACTCTCCCATTGTAATGCAAAACACATTGGTTATAAGCAGTAAATGCTGCTGATTCAAAATTACTGCCAGCCAGGCTTTCCACTGTTTTTTAAAAAAGAAAAACCAATACAATAGTGCATATATAAATGAAGAGAATATTCAAGTCCTACCCTCTCACCCCAATAATCTGTGTTCAGAAAAACCTTGTTTTGGAATGGCAGTGGAATCCACAAATATTTTGGGAAGGAAGATGAGTCACCGACAGGATGGAGATGCCTCTCCAGACAGGGACACTTGTTATATTTGTGGGGATCCATAGATAGCACATGATTAGCATTACAGATACAGATGAACAGGCTGGGGCCACTGAGAGGGTGAGAAGCAAAAGGATGACCCAAAGCTTCATGAGATGGAAACGGGGGAGAATGAAGGTCAACTGATGTGGAGAAAGAACTCCAAAGATTGCATTTCAACAAAACATTTTTTAAACAGGACGTATGGAAATACCGCATTACGGTGTGAGCTGTCTGATAGAGCCGTGAATACAAGCAAATTCAGTAAGAAACATATTGGAACATGCATAGTGAGAGACATAGCAAGCTGCTAGGCCATACGGCATAAGAGACTTACCCAGGTTTTAGTTTCAATAGCCAAATGTAGTATTATTGTGAAGAGAGCTATTGTGGTGATAGGGGTTCCCCATGAAAATATATCCACGTCAGAATCATAATCTATCTGAAAACATTAAAGGGTGATTTTTAAAAACTCATCTCTTCACACATCACATACACAAACTTAAAATAATGCCTAGCAATTCCTATCAAAACAAGAAACGATGGGGAAGTTGTTCCCCCCAATTCTATTCCTCAACTCTGGACACTCTTTCAGATATATTGCCTTATCATACACTTCTCCCTTGAACAATGCCAGGGAGTTAGGGGTGCTGGACCCCCATGTAGTCCAAAATCGATATATAACTCTTATGCTCCCCAAAACTTAACAACAAAGCATAAACATTTGATCCACAGAGACATGCAGGAAAAAAAAACCAGTTCTCTCTCTTAGGATCCTTTTGCATAATGCTGACAATCCTTTCTATTCAGTACCGTGTGTAATGAACCTTAAAGGTCCTTATGACACCTTGACCTAGAGGTTGAATTAGAGATGTTGTGTTTGGGGGCAAGTTAACCACTTTGACACATTTGGAGTTGAACTCATGGGGTTCTGGGTGGCCATGGGCACAGTTTTTGTTGAATACTGATTGATTTTTAAAAAATCCTTGTACGTATAACCAAAGTCATGCTGTTCAGAGGTGCAATTCAAGGGAGAAGTGCATTTATTTACATGGTTATCTTACAACAATTTAATCCTTGTTAATGTTATCGTGCAGTGGCTTGTTTTCTATCTTTTCCCTTTTTGTTTTATTAGCGTGTGCGTGGACACACAAACACACACACACACACATATACACACACAGTACTTACACACACGCACACAGTCTATATATTAAAAAAGCACAAACATGCACACATAAACATATATGGGTTTATGTGTGTATCCACACACACACACACACACACACAGTACTTACACACACACACAATCTATATATTAAAAAAGCAAAAACATGCACACATAAGCATATATGGGTTTATGTGTATATAATAATAAAAATACCACACATCTATAATCTCACTTGTGGCACATTTATAAGGCCTGGCTCCTTGTGCTCCCCCCCTCCCCGGCCCACTTATCCAAGAAGAGAAGAACCCTTGAGAGTGACTAAAATTTCCAACTTACAAAGTAAGGTATGAAGAAGCAAACCAGACTTTGGTAGAGGGCATCAATCATATTCATCCAAAACATATGTGGCTGGTATTCCTGCAGTATGGAAACACAGAGTGAGTGCCTACATTCAGATGAGTCATGTTCTTTATGGTCAAATAAATAATTAAAACTAATTAACTGGTAAGACACAGAATAACTCAAGTGGGGAGTTCAGCCTCCACCAGGTCTAACTAGAGATGCCACTGGAGTTCTCTGAGCTGAAGATAAGGTATACACTTTGAAGTTGTGTCAGACCCATCTGTCTGCATTTTTCACTGCCTTGGATTGAGCGCCAAAGCCGTCCTAAAACCTCCCAGCTTCCCTATTCCCCGTTCTCAAATTCCCTCCCACAGAGCTCACCCATATCCCCTAAACTCTCCTTTTCCATTCAACAGGATGTAACGAATCTGATATATTGGTTATATATCACGGACCAAACCCTCTTTTCCATCAGCACCTGAAAGTGGCTTATTATAGCCCTTGGATAAAATGCATTTCTCAAAATCTGCCTGGAGGGAGCTTATTTTAAAATGGGGCTTCGGTTCTTGAAAATAATATCAATTTACAAAGCAAAGGGTGGGATTATAAGCTAAGTTAGTTGAATTTAGTTCCTGTAAAAACCAGTAGAATAAGTAAGGGTGAAACTCTACAGAGAGGGAAATAAAAATTAACTTGAACTCTCTTGCTTCAGGGCATTGAGTCACACAGGGGTATTCAGTTCTCTTCAATATAAGTGGCCACAGGAGCAGATGGGAAAAATCCTTCTAACTGCAGTGCCTGAAGGTGTTGTTGCTCAAAGGAACTGCCTTTAAAAGGCTTTCTGTCCTCAATGACTCTATTTCCTCCTTTTTTTCCTTGCCCACTGGATAGCTGGGCTAGCTCATTAAGCTGTTAAAAATAATTAAATGAAGAGAACTACCCATCCAGGAGAAACTCTTAAAAAAATGGGAAGGTCTTAGAAGTTTAGAGACTTTGTGGAGGGAGGCAAGTGCTGGTGTTGCTTGTGTGTGTATGTGAGGCAGGTATGAGGGGGAAGCTGCTTTGCCAAAGCATTGGTGTGTGTTTGTGTGTGTGTGTGTGCATGCATGTGTGCGTGCATGCACAAGAACAGGGTTTGGGTCCAGATTGATAATTTCTTTTCTATGCCAAGATGATCTAGCACTAAACTAGTATATCAATGCAATGACTTAGTACTAAATTTAATTATTTCTTTTAAAAAATGCTGAGATACTAGGGGACAGATCGTGGGGCGGGTGTCCTTGCATTCCTTAATATCATGTCCCAACTGTTTATGTCACCACAAGGACTCCCAGGGTATCTGACTACGTAGTTGCAACCTAATAAGAAACATTGATCGCTAGTCAATTTCTTAAAAAGTGTTAGGTTGATGTCAAATCACCAAGTGAAACTGAGGTAAACTTGCAGGACCTGGGTATATACAGTGAAATCAAGTTTTTACCTCCATGTTTTGACCACTTGTGTAGAGCTGAGGCACAGCAATCAGTATGTCTGCGGGTACATCTTTATCAAGCACGCCAACAATCAGTTGAGGCAGGGAAGAGAACAGCAAGTTAAAGAAGATCAGGTACCACTGATCGATCATGGACGATCCAGAAAACCCGCAGTAAAACTGGTACCAGAAGAGGAGGGCCACGAACATCTTTGAACAGAGCAGAAAAAGAGCAGCGCATGAATGACACAAGAGACTTGTCACCTGAAAGCTTCCTGTGACTCTTCAGGCCACTGCTGGACATTTCAAATAAACCTTTCTATCACTATCCTTGGAATGAGACAAAAAAGACAGAGAGAATTAGGTGTCATCCATGTACTGACGGCACCAAACTCCAAAATTCTAGATGTCTCCCCAGCGGTTTCATGCAAATACTTAAGAGCATGGGGGACAACATGGAGCCCCGAGGGGCACCCCCAGACCAACAGTTAGGGTGTCAAACAGGAATCTCCACAACCACACGTTGAGTTCACTCCTCCAGAAAAAGACCACAGACCGTTGCAAAAAGATGCGTCCAAGTTCCATCCCAGAGAGATGACTGAGACATGGTTGGTGGTAATGAAAGCTACTGAGAAGTCAAGCAGGACCAACAGGGACAAACATACCCTGTCTAGTATAGGTTGTCTACCAAGGTGATTGAAGCAGCCTCTGTCCCATATATAACCACCCCTGAAGTTAGTCTGAAATGGATCTAGGTAATCCATTTCACTGAAAAACACGTGGAAGTTGAAAAGCCACCACCTTCTGTAATACTTTGCTCAAAAATGGAGCATTGGTGACTGGCCAATAATTATCTAATATAGTCAGGTTTCAAGGAGGCTTTTTCAACAAAGATTTACAACTGCCTCCCTTTAAGCATGTTAACAGGCTACACTGGTGCAAGAAGGCATTTGGTACTCCTCTTACCATTGAACCAGTCCCTTTCTGGCTGTTTTTATAAGCCAGGAAAGGCAAGGGCTTAGCACCCACGTGGTAGTTCAGCTCTCCAAGAATCCTGTCCACATTGTCGGGCTACAACAGGTTGAAATGTATCCGTTACGGGACAAGCCAGAACTAAAGCTACATTAACAGGAGCTGCATACACTATAGTGTCCAAATCAGACTGAATCCGAGCAACTTTATCGGCAAAACACTGTGCAGATACATCAAGGCAGGTTGATGAATGGTCAGCAATAATGCTGCAGTATCTGTGCTTTTAGTTACGCCAATGTTAACAAGAGGTGCCCGATAAGCAAATTTACAGTTTTGTTTCATGCTATACTTTTATTTGCTTCTGAGAAGTGAAGATCTGCACCATTTAGGTGACAAAAGGCTTGTACGCTGAGAGACGTGACATAAAGAAAGCTTGTTCCTTACTCGTGTTAGGATATTTTTCCACAGCAAACATGAGAGTTACAGGTATGCAGGAATGCGATGCATTTTTATTCCTAGCACCAAGGAATAACTTGTTTTGTAAGGCTTTTACCATTGATCTGTTTTACATCCACATTTATTTCTTTATTCTTTTTAATTTCAGCGTATTATTTGTAAGGATTTACTAAGGTTTTATAAAAGCTTTAATAAAATAAAGGTTAACTACAAGTTCTCTGCTTCTGAAATGGCTCCATGGCTGCTTTCCAGTGTTTTTTTGCAGCTCCCCCAAATCTTTGGGTATTGTTAGTTTAATTTATAGTCTTAGCTTAATTTATTTTAGCTCGTAAACAGAGGTTGCCACTTTTATATTGGCCTGAAATGCCTGTACTTTGTCTTAATAGTCTCTCACTGAACAAAGATGTTTTCAATTCCAACTTCTTGCTTCTTAGAAAATGATTTCTGTGTTAGGCTGAAGTCCTTTTTGTTTCCTAAACCATCTCACTGGATAGGGATTGTGAACTGTAATGTCTAAACAGTCTCTAATAAGCAGGATTAGGAAGTAAAAAACTGCCAAAACAATGTGTGGATGCCTCATTTCAGGACCAAAATATGCTAATCAAAGACTTATTTGCTCAATTGAGACTATTAAAACAAAGAACTGGCACTTTGGATTGAATTAAAAGTTCTCTCTAAATACAAAATAAAATAAATTAACACTAACTACAAATAGAAATTACTGTGAAAGTAACTGGGAAGCAGTCATGCAGTGAGGCAAGGAGCAGACCTCAGTCTGCAGCAGAAATTATCTGCTGCATTTCATTTTTTGGGGGGGGGGCAGGGGTTTGAAGAAGTGCCTTGGGGGCTGCACGTGGCCCCAGGTTGCCCTTCACCCATCTGTGCCCCAGTATATGCCTCGTGGAGTACAGCAGGCAAGTGCAAACGGGTGCATTCCACATTGCCATTTTATGACTGGTTCTGCTTTAAGCTTGCAGTGTCACAATTTCTTTCTGGTGGATCCTGAGGCTGAACACCAAGGAGACTATGAAAGCCTGGATTATGCCAATCCTGCTCTATAAAGTATTAAGTTTGTTGTTGTTGTTTAGTCGTTAAGTCGTGTTTGACTCTTCGTGACCCCATGGACCATAGCACGCCAGGCCCTCCTGTCTTCCACTGCCTCCCGGAGTTTGGTCAAATTCATGTTGGCCACTTTGATGACGCTGTCCAACCATCTCGTCCTCTGTCGTCCCCTTCTCCTCGTGCCCTCACACTTTCCCAACATCAGGGTCTTTTCCAGGGAGGCTTCTCTTCTCATGAGATGGCCAAAGTATTGGAGCCTCAGCTTCAGGATCTGTCCTTCCAGTGAGCACATTCTTAAGTAGCACATCTTATTCTTGTTATCAATTTTAGAATGACTGATCCCTTTGGCATGCGATTCCCGTCATGCCGCAAGGACGGCTATGCTTGTAAATACCACCCATCTGGATTTTAACAAGTGTTGCCAAATAAAAACATTGTTAAAATAAAGGATAAAGTGGGAACTATAGCATCTGTTCCATGGAATGACATGGAGCTGGGCTTCTGAAATGAGGGACAAAGACCTTCAGCTAAGGTTTGGCTGAAAAATGTCTACTGACACCACATCCAAATCAGCAGGCCTGGGAGACTTAATCCCTTCCATGCTGACTGCTACTTTCCACCTTACCCTATTCCGAATTCTTCTTGTTCCTCCCCCTCCCATTCCAAAAGGTTAGCCTTCAAAACCGCTCCCAACCCCACCCCCATCATCTGTCTGGCTCTTTTCCTCTGCCTTTTTGATATATATGTTCTGTCTTCCTAGCTGCCTTATTGAATGCACCCTGACTTTACCTGTCAAGGCTTCATCACCACCAGACTGTAAGAGTCTATGAAGCTGTGATGTTTTCAATAGAAGCAGTGTTTAACATTCTTTTAAAACTGTACAGATCTTGTCAACATTGCTTTGAAATGCTTTGCTGCATGCTAATTTTATTCTTAATTGACCATTCAAGTTCTTCTTCAAGTACAATGTGTTGCTAGAAGAGGCTGCAAAAGAAACTCAGAAGAGCGCGGCATAAACTGTGTGTCACCAAGTTAAATAGAGCCCATGTGCTGTATTTTATATAGACACTGAAAAATATATGAGAAGTCTGACAACCTACATTTCCAAGCAGCTGAATCCACAACATGGTGATGAAAGGCCTCACAAGAATTGTTCTATGGGGTTTTCTAGGGATCTAGTTCATCTTTTTAACATCTACTCGCAGCCAGTGTGAGACTGTTGAAAGCTGGATGGCTAGTTTCATAAGGAAGCTGACAGCATATTGATTTATTTTTTCTTCTCTCTATAAGGGTCCTCCATCAATCAGTACTTCAGATTAAAAATAGATAAGGTGCAAGTCAGCAAATGTGAGCACAGTCTGGACAATACAAAGGTGCAGTTGGTACATAGGTCCAATGGTCTTGGGATGGCACATAAAAGAGTTCTCAAAAGTTCACAGATCTGCCCCCGAGAGTGCTCCTTGACTGGGTATTGATTTTGGATAATCACATGACAACTACATCCAGGGATGTTTTCCTTCCATTCCAGTTGATGCACCAGTGGTGCCCCTTTCTGAAAACTAAGAACATGGTACCTGCTTTCCACGTCTAGATAAGTAACTAAACTTTACTTGCATTTTGGAGAAAGGAATATAGTACACAGTTCAGAATGTCTCTATTTGTGCCTTTCAAGATCCAGCAAAATAAATGTTGCTGGAAATGATCCAGAAGGACAGAATAGATTCCAGAGCAACATAACCCTAGCTGCCCTGCTTTTATACTGCTGGGATACTGCAGTTTTCTCTAGATGCTACCCTGTGTATTCCACATTCTAGAGTCACAGATCATATGTGATGATCAGATCAAAATCAATGTTAAACTATCTTCTCAGCCAAAGAAATAAGTGAAAGGCATTCCTCAGCACAACTCAGAAATGTGTGCTGTGACAAAGCTGTCATAAACTTACTGCATTTTTGTAGAAGAAATACAGCACCATGTTGGCAAGCCGTGAGTAACACCAGTGGCCATGTACAAGCAGGAGTTTCTCCAAATACCGGAACTTTGGGATGGCAAAGTCACTTGCCATCACAGCCTTCAATGCAAGAAGAGTTGAAATTATTAAGTACAGAGAGTGCATCTGTTTTCAAGGCAGGTGGAACAAGCAGAATCTCTCAGATAATAAATGATAATGACATGCCATCAAGTCTGTTCTGATTTATGGTGACCCTTTCCAAGAGTCTTTTTGCTCAAAGGATTATTGAGCCAAGTATTCCCCATCTTGTAACTGTGCGTTTGTTTCCCCCACCCCGAGGCATTACTTTGTCTAATGACACATTTATCTATTTATTTAAAATATTCCTACCCCTGCCTTTTGCCTTAAAAAAAAAGGGACCCCATGTGGCTCACATCATTAAAAACATAACATTAAAAGCTCAAAACCGTAAGTTATTCAAATGTTAGAAAAGAATTAATAACATGATATTAAAAATGTTAGATAAAAGCATGATGAAAAATAGATTTAGAAGCAACAATATATAAACCATTCTGTTTATTGTCTCCTAGACAGTCAGTCACCAAGGGAAGCCTGCGTGTCTCCTAGACAGTCAGTCACTAAGGGAAGCCTGCAATGTCTGTTGCTGCCTGAGTCTCCTCAGAGTGGATGGATTTAGTACTTCAGGGAAAACAATATAAGATTCTTTGGGTATCTTAAAGTCTTTGGGCATCAGCTTTTATTATGCTAAATAAAACCAAATAAATTACAAATAAATAATTATTCCAAATCAAACTCATCAGCATTTAAGATGCCGCAAACATTCTAAGTTCTTTTTGCTGCAAGAGATTACAGCCTAACATGGACACCTCTTTGGGATGCTCTAGGAACGATGATCTTTGCACATTTCCAACCGTTGGATTTTACTGAGGAAGCGTCAATCACCCACCACACTGAGCAATTAGCCAGCAATCTCCCAAACAAAAGGGAGGGATGGCCATGAAGCCTGGCCACAACACTACATCTAGCTTGCTGTTTATAAACATGAGAATGCTGCCCATCAGTATATCTACTTCTCTGTCCCCTGCGATCTTCCTATAATGGAATGAAAAGGCATTTTCACAAACTTTTGCATTTTCACATAATTACGTGAGTGCATTTCCCCCCTATAGGCCTATTTCTGATCAACAAGAGGAAAGAGGAGAAAACTATTTGACTGCAAACTGACAGATTCAATTTCCTTCTACATTTTAAGAAAGCAACCATGTGTAGGAAGAACTGCTATTTAATTCCCATTCATAAAGCAACTCTTACAAAAGACAAGACACTATCTGCTGTTAAAGTAAATATTCAGCAGGACATCGGAGAATATGACTTCCTTTCATCAATTATGGGATTTTGATACTTCCCGTGTGATGGTATGTGGGTTTTCCCTTATGGCACAAATGCCTAGTCCATGGAAAGGCACTAGAAAACACTTATTTTGAAGTGTGAACAATTAATTCATGGATATTAATAAAGCAATGTGGATTATTTGAAGAGGATTTAATAGCTTAATTTGCATCTCATTGCCTGGAGAGCATGCAATAGCAGAACACAGCAGAAAAGTAGCACAAAAGGTCTTAATATCTTGTGGCCATTTTACAACTGCAGTTTGGTTAACCTTCTCAGAATGTAGTCTGTGAATAAAGGAACATGGATGCATGACGCAAGCATTATAGCCAAGGAGCAATTTTGAGTTTGTCAGCACGGTGCATAAGCTAACAAGCGCAAGATTTCCACCAGATGTTCACTTCTTGCACTCCTGGTTCAGTTCTAACAGCTAATCGTTCAGGACAGAATTCTTTCTGTCTCCTCGCTCCCTTTTAAAAACAACAAGAAGTAGCATTAAACTATCTTCAACATTCAAAAACTGGTGATGTGGGAAAGCAATACACACAAACCGTTTTGGGCAAAATGTGGCCATTGGGCTCCCTGGGTCTCCAAGGTCCTTTCTGACCCCACCCCACTCCCCAAGACAGGTGCTCAAAAGACCCTCTCAAAGCAGCCACACTTATCTTTCACCCAAAACAGTAAGACTTTTATGGAGCCTTAAAGACTGGAATGCTTTATTTGGTACAAGCTTTGGAGGACTGAGGAAGGCAGATTGGGTGGAGAGGACATTGAAAGGTATAGATTACTTCCTTCACCCTCTTGCCCTCCCAAGCATGGGTGTTACTCAGTGGATGAAATCTTGTTGCTGAGCGTAAGGGAATCTGTAACTTTCAATCTGTTCCTAATTGGTAAATAAGGAGTTCCTTCCATGGTTCTCAAGGGTACATGCACATGGTAGCTTTGGTGCATGCATGTACACCCCTGATGGGGCATTTTCATTTGCCAGTCAGGAATGGACCGGAAGTTACAAATCGCCCTTACGCAAAGCAACAGGATTTCAGGCAGTGTGTCTGTAGTGCACAGGGTATAATTTAGGAAGGCACTTAGAATTATGGACTGTATTTCAGGGGAGCGCCCAAGGGTTCTCTTGTTCAGATGTCCAAGAATTTCATCATAGGACAAAGCCAAAGATTCTGTGGGATCGGGATGTGAAAGTCACAGTCGTGTTTAACGGACACAGCTGTGTAATGTGGACACAACCCATCACTGACACAACATAGATCAAGTGGACAGTCTACAAAAGATGAGGCCAAACAAAACTTGATAGTTTTTAATGTGCCATGAGACACTTTGTTGCATTTTCTGCAACAGATCAAGGGGTGTCTCTATTACCATTTATTCCCCATTTTGTCTGCTTGTTGGGAGGGTCAAGTATGATCTATTTTGTGGCAACTACACAACAGACAGCTGATGGTGAACCAGCCTGGTCTTTTTCAGTCTCTTTTTGGATCAGTGAGAGGAGCTGCTTTAATGTTCGGTATGACTGAGATCACATTGTTTAGTCTGGTTTCCAGGAGTGTGTTGTCACCTATTTTGTTTGAAAACCGTGTAGAGGAGTGCTATAGAGTGACATCTTCAGGTCGGTTTGACATTTCATGAACCACCCCCTCCTCTTGGCTAGCCCAGGTGTTTATTTATTTATTTATTTACAATATTTTTTAGCCGCACCATTACCAGTGGCTTCTGGGCGGCTTCTGTTCTTGGACTGCAACTCCCAGAACCCCCTGGCCAGCACAACTGGTGGTGAAGGCACCTGGGAACTGCAGTCCAAGAACACTTGGGTTAGCTATTTAAAAATCAGCTTCTGATTTATTACAAAAACAAAATAATATTTAATATTTTATATCTAAGGAAAATGGTAACACTTCGCTAGACACTAGAATGAGTTCTGTGATGATTTATATCACCTGTCATCCCAAATTGCTACCACACCACCCTGTATATTCCAGATCTTGTCTAGTTTCAGAAGACACGCAGGGTCAGGCTTGCTTAGTACTTCGCTGGGAGACCAGAAACATCAGGGACCTGCAGGCAGAGTTAGGAAGAGAATCCTGCCTGAAGCCCTTGAAAGCTTCTGCCAGCTGACAATACTGGGCTAGTGGGACTGGGGCTCTAACTTTGTACAAAGCAGCTTCCTGTGTATTATTTTATTGATATCAATTACAGTATTTATATGTTGCCGTTCTCCCCACAGGGGACCCAAGGCAGCTCACAACAAGTAAAATAAGGTATAAAACACTATATAAATACCGCAATCCACAACAAGTAAAATAAGGTATAAAACACTATATAAATATCACAATAAAAAACAATTAAACATACATTAAGATTCAAACAATCAAGTACAAATACAATTTAAAAACATTAAAAACCTGTAAGCTAAAAAAAAACAACCCAAAATAAGGTATAAAACACTATATAAATATCACAATAAAAAACAATTAAACATACATTAAGATTCAAACAATCAAGTACAAATACAATTTAAAAACATTAAAAACCTGTAAGCTAAAAAAAAACAACCCAGCATTCCTGAGGTAACTTACTGCTTAAAGGCCTGCCCGAAGAGGAAGGACTTTGCTTCTTTGGGCAGCACATTCCAAAGCCTGGGAGCAGCCACTGAAAAAGGCCCTCTCTTGTGTCCCCAACGAGTGAGCTTGGGAAGATGGTGGAACCGAGAGGAGGGCCTCCCCAGAAAGTCTTAAGAGCCGAGAAGGCTCATATGGAGCGATGGAATCCTTCAAATAACCTGAACCCAAGCCATATAGGGCTTTATAGCTATAGCAATGCTCCTCCTATGCCAATTATTAGGCTAGAATGAATTCTTGTCCATGTGAACTGATTTTCATTACTGCCCATCTGGAATAATAAATGGGTAGTATTTTGTTCTATAGTTATGTATCTTGCCTTTTAATATTTAAAGTAATTTTTTTTTAAAAAGAAAAGAAATCAAAAGAAATGGAGCAGAAACCTCTCTTAACTACGAGTGTGATCACAACATGTTCACATCTTTGAGAGAGGAGTTCTGCCAAAGGACTCGGCTGTAATTTTTGCAGAAACTGGTTGGCCCACCTTGAGGCAGCTTGCAAGACTTCTGAAATTCACAGTGGCTGTCACAGAGCAGCTTGTTGCAGTAGGCTCGGAAACGAGACTCAAGCGGACATACAGGCCCAGCTCTATCCTGGGGTCACTTTTCAATAAACGTATGTTACCTGCATGCCTTCCGGACCTGAGATCCCCACACCGACATCAGCAACTTGTATCATACTGACATCATTGGCTCCGTCACCTGGCAACAATCAGGAAGATATTATTAATACTACTAATTGAATCAGCGATGACAAATGGCAAAGATTCAAACTAAAACCAAGAGAATGTTAAAAAAAGAAGGGAATATTTAGTACAAAAATGCCTACTCCAAATTATAGTTTCACTGCCCAGTATGACTTGTTTACTTACGTAACTTAGGTACCTCGCTGAAGCAAATTATTTGCAGAGAGCCTAGGCTAGTACATCTGTATCCATCAAATGAATTACAGTGGTGTCCTCGCAAGACAAATTTGATTCATTCCGCAGTTAATGTTGTCTTGCGAAACATGTTTTCCCATAGAAATGCATTGAAATCTAATTAATGCGTTCCTATGGGGAAAAAAAGGCAGAACAAAGTAAAATTTGGTTTACAAAGGGTTTATTAAGTGCTCTTTAAAGCCATACATATTGTGCAGATGATTTTAAAAATTTCAGTCAAAAAACTTTAATTTTTTGAACATCATAGAAAAATATTTAAAAATCAGCAAACATGAGGCAGGAACAAAAAACATTCGTCTTGCGAAGCACGGCCATAGGAACATTTGTCTTGCGAGTCATCAACTCCATTGCCAAAAACCATTTGTCTTGCGAGTTTTTTGTCCTGCGAGGCATTTGTCTTGCGAGGCACCACTGTATACAATAAAACAAAACACCTGTTCGACGTATCAAATTTGCTATCCATTCTCAAAAGAGAGGAAGATACTGAGAGTGTACAAATAGAGTTTTGGGAACCCTTCTTCTGTATAGATGCTGGCTAACTGGAAAGATTTGAAAGGGAGAAATAAGTATGCACATCCTGCAGTAAGTAATGTGGTACCGTACGTAGGATTCTGGGAATCTAAATTTTTATTCTAAGGAAAGAGCAAGTTTCTAGTCCTCTTTATTTTCCTACTTCATGCAGCTGCGCAACAGAATATAGCACAAACTAGTTGAAGAGTAGTGTTTTTGTTATTTATGTTTAATGCTATGTTTGGCAACTGTTAAAAGGAAAGCCACATGTCTTCCCAATTATCTGAAGTGAACTTACAATTTTATGTATTTTTTAAAGATGTGCCTACTTGCCAGAACTAAAGCATGCCAAGAATAGTACACAACTACTTGCAGCGTTAAGACTTAACTTTAATAGACTGTCAAAGCAGTCTATTAAACAGCTTCTGACAGTCTCCTTAACAGTCCATTATCCTTTCCTCATTGTTTTAAAAGATAACTTATGCAAAACTTGTGTTACTACCTCTCAAAATAATGCAGATTTGCTACAAACCTTTACTTCTCTGTCTAACAACAATCATCATCTACCTGAAAGGATATTTTTCCATAGGAAAAATGAGGAAGGAAACAGATGCTAATAGCCACCACCACTGCCACCACCTCCATCACCATCTGATATTCAAGGAACAGCTGGCAGGCTGTGCATAGTGGAATGGCAGTAGTAGTAGTAAATGATCATCATCATCCTATGTTTTCTCTCTCAAGCCAGTGCAATTAGATATTCAGAGAAAGACAGCATTATTTCCCTAATAATTCAGATGTTCTTTGCATTAGTCTAGAGTTGGAGTACTTCTCATATATTGTTGGATTCCAGTTTCTATCAGTCTCAGTCAGCCTAGCCAACAAAGAGAGGATGATAAAAGCAGTAGTTTATTAACACCTGGAAGGCCCAAACTTCCCAGGCTCTGCATCAGACCATGGAATTTTCAGACCTCTGCTAATGAACTGAAATTATTACTTCTGCTAATAGGGTGCCCTTACACCTGCCACTAGAATCACAGATAACACTTATTGCTAATAAATTATCGGCCTGGTTCATTTCAAGTATCAGCTTTGATCTGTACTAGGACACACTTAGATTGGACTAACTGAAACAGAAAAGGTGAAAGTTAAACCCCATTAATTTCAGTGAGTCTATTGCAAATATGACTATATTGGAATCCTGCCCTTAAACTCTCCCCGCCCCCCCAAGACTGGAGAGGGAACACCTCCTTCCAGACTCACTGGACTGCAGAGTTGCTTCCAGTGAAGTCAAGAGTTTTCCCAGTTCCAAAAACAAGCCTGCAGCTGAAAAGAATTAGCTATAAAACTTCAAATGTTCACATGGGAAACAGAGATGCCCCCTCCCTCCCAATTAGTTACAGATAAATGTAAAAAACATCTGAGTCAAAAGGATTTTGAGACAAAGTTTCTTGAATGAGAATTCAAATAGATTTTCAGAAGTATGCTGGGTTTCTAATGAAAAATATGTGAAACCCAGGTCAAAATGTGCTAGGTTTGAGTGGGCTATTTACTCTTTTTGCTCTCTTTAAAGGACATAAGAAAAAGGAAGAGAATCCCTTCATTACTGCCCTGATCTGACTGATTCAATAGGGCTTATTTCTATACAGTGGTGCCTCACAAGCCGATTTTAATTTGTTCTGCGAAAATCGTCGTCTTGTGAAAAAATCGTCTCGCGAGGTTACCTATGCATCGTTCTCAAAAAAAAAAAAAAGTCTTGTGAAGCATTGGTCTCAAAAAAAGTCTTCCGAAGCATGGTCTTAGGAAGAAAAAAAAAGTCTAGCGAGGCACCATAGTGATCACAAATAACAATCGTCTTGCAGGTTTTTCATCCCGCGAGGCAATCGTCTAGTGACGCACCACTGTAAAACAAGGCCAAGGCACGGACGGCTTTAGCCTTTTGTGACATCACAGTAAAGAAACCAACAGATAGTAAGATGTCAAATACTGCAGCCTGTGTGAAATCCAAGTTTTATTATTTTTTTCAACTTCACATATTTTCCAGACACCCACCCTCTCATCTGTATACTTCTCCTGACAGTTCTGTACTCCCTTTTCTACTTTGCCTGTCATCTTCATAGCTCTTAAAGAAGCCTTGTCCTTTCATATTTTAATATTTTAAAAAATCTTTAAAATACCATTAAGAAAGCTCAGAAAAATAAAGAATGGGAAATAGGTATTTACATGATTAACATGAGTAGAATGTCATGGATTTAAAAATAAGACTTACACACTTGAATGAAAGAGCATTAACATTAGCTGAACAAAATAAGTTTTTAACCTTGCATTGGTATTAACGGGAATAAATCTCTATGAAACAGGGATACTTGCCTATAGCCAAGGACATTGTTTTCAGTTTGTCCCTGACCAGTTTGACGACCATCCCTTTCTGAATTGGGGTAGAGCGACAACAGAGCACAGCACGACATCTCCTGGCTAGCAACAGGAATTTGTCTTCTAGCGTTTTGTCTAAGGCATAGGCCAGCGTCCTTCCATCAATGACTAAACCCAGTCTTGGATGCACCAAAGATGATGGCATGTAGAGGGGGGTAAACTTTGCAGTCATGTTCTGAGAAGATTTTTCCAATGTTTCAGTTGAAAATTTAGACTCTATGCAGTGCAAGTGTTGTTCCAGTAAGGTAGCACACATTTCCTAGAAGAAAACCCAACAATGGACAGGAAAATAAATAAAGACACACCAAAATCAGTGAAAGCCTATTCTGATAAAGCTTCAAAATCATCCTTTAAAACAACAACAACACACACCTTCATATGTGAAATGTTTAACATGTTTGTACATTGGGGCAACTGAAGTCGATTGCAGACAAAAAGAAAATTACCACAATGAACACAATTACTCAGAAGTAAGTGTGGTCTGGAGGTAGAATATTCAATGACACTTATTCACTGGTCTAGCTTGGGGAACTTGAGGAACAACTACTTCCATCATCTCTCAACATTCACCAGGCTGTCTGGGGTTGATGGGACCAGAATCTGGGAGGTCAGTTTCCTCATTCCTGTATTAGTAAGGCTGCATAAATCCTATGCAACCTGCAGCCTAAAGCAAGCACGTACCAGCAGAATTATAAAACAGCATCACTAACATCAATTCAAAGATGGGACCAAAAAATTAAAATGCAAGGAAGTGTTTGGTCCCTTAAACCTAAATAAATTAGGCACAAAACAAACAACCCTGGGTACAGCAATCCAGAAAAAGGGCACCACCATAAAAACAACAACACTCTTTTTCAGCTCTAATATTTGATGGCAGGCGTGCCTGTAGAAAAGCACTTGATGGACAGTTTCTTAGATGTAAAAATGAAAGGCATGTAGCTCACAAGCTTTTTTGGGAACTGTTCACCCTAAGAAGATGTTAGGTTCAACAACAGCAGCAGCAACCACAACAACAAACCACCAAGTCCATTCTGACTTACGGCAGTCATTCCGTGGGTATTCTAGATACAGTGTATGCAGAACAGATTTACCATTCCCTTCTTCTTGGGTTTTTCTGGGACAGTGGAGCTTGCACAAGGCTACACAGGATGACTTTTCTCTTGGAAGACATGGTGGAGCTCTAAACTCCCAAACACTGACTCCATAGCCAGATACCTAACTCAATGAGCTATCCAGGCAGCTGTTAGACTAAAGGTACAGGTATAAGAATGTAAGCTGTATGTCTTTCAAGATGTTTACCAAAGAGCCTCATCAAACTTAAAGCACATGAGAATGTGTGTGTGTGTGTGTGTGTGTGTGTGTGAGAGAGAGAGAGAGAGAGAGAGAGAGAGAGAGAGAGAGAGAGAGAGAGAGAGAGAGAGAGAGAGAGAGAGAGAGAGAGAGAGAGAGAGAGAGAGAGAGAGAGAGAGAGAGAGAGAGAGAGAGAGAGAGAAACATGAATATTCCCATTGCAGTTAGTGGGAATATCCAATGTGTTCCCTATTCAAGTTGAATAGGGCCCTGAGGTGTTTGAGAGTCCAAGTAAATTGGACAGGAAAAACACTCCCAGAAATAAAAGAGGGTTCAAAACCCTTCTAGCAGAATTTTCATAATCACTCTCATCCAGTCCACAGCTCTCCATCAGGCTTCTTCCATGTTCTACCTCTAGCCCCAGCCTGTGTAACGTGTGACCCAGTCGGCTGAAAGCCAGGCATATAGCCGGTCTTAACACAGGGAAGGGGAACAGGCAGGTCTGTAGATGTTGTTCATGAGTCAGAGTCAACAGTCAGTGGTGAACAACGTAGGAAAATAAAAAGTGAAATCCAACGATAGATCTGAAGAGCCACCTACTTCAATTAACGGGAACAATAACCCCCTGTTATTTTTTTATAATACTAGACAACAACAAAAAGGGAGCTTAGTGAAGTCCCTGCTCTGCTTCTCTAAATGGATAGTGATTGGCATGGCCGATCATAGGTTATGCAGGCACAATTCAGGCTGCTTGCGGTAACTGATAATTCTCAAGCATCCTGCAGGTACATGGTCAACTTGCTGCTTAGAGCTTAAGGCTTGTCAGTACATAGGCCCAGTACTATATAACAGTGCTTAAGATAGTGTTGCCATACCAGAGAGTCAGCATTCAGGGTAATGATTTCTTCATCATGGTCCAACAGCTTGCAAGCGTAAGCAATGTTAATGGCTGTTTCCTGCTTATCTCCAGTTAGGACCCATATCTGCAGCCCAGCCCGGCGCAGATTTGCAATGGTTTCTGGGACTCCATCCTGTAAACGGTCTTCAATGCCAGTTGCACCTGCCACACAAACAGAAGGATGCAAATCTGGGATTTCAAGGAATTAAGCGTGCATAGCTGAACAAACACAGAACTACTGCAGAAACTGGAGACAACCCAAAAGGTTGTCTGGCCATGACAGCACGGCTTGTCTCCACGGAAAAAAAATCAAGATGCTGGCCAAGATTTTTATCCCATTTCTAAATTATTGAAAATAAACACAGAGGTGCCAGGGTCCTATTTTGGTAGTCCCCACTAGAGTAGACCCACTGAATTCATGATTGGATGCTGCACCAACACTTATGTAAATCCTATTGATTTACATGGGAACCGTAATTAATTGTAACTTACCTGAATGTATATTATACTGTATAAAAAAGAACAGAACTACTTACAATGAATGCTGATATTACCATCCCCAAGTGGAGAGAAAACATAGTAATGTTGTGGTGAATGAATGATGGAACAAATTTCTGAGATGTCAGATTTGAGGACATTTACCAAATGCAATGTTATGAATCAACACAAGCACTCCTACATGGCAAAGATGTACATCACAGTCAATCTTTCCTCTCTTACCAGCATGCAATTAAAACAGAAAAAGGAATAGGAAAGGGAACATGAGGAAGCTGCCATTAAGATCAGCAGCCTTGTGTAGGCTTTATTGCTGCTTATGGAAGTTGGCAAAGGAAGCCTTTCATCACAATTCTTTTCTTAAAATTCAACCTTGTGGTTTTTTGTCACTTGATCAGTCTGCATTCCAGGTCCTCTTGTTACCAAGCAGGCAGCTCAAGGTTTAATTTGCAAAACAGATGGCTAAGTTTTGACAGCAGTCCATTTTCATTTATCCAGCTGTGATCAAGGAAGGTTTAATTCATGAAACCTCATATGAACACACAAAGTCAATAGCACTGAGCAGATTGTCTTAATTTTGCTTAGGAAAAAAATTTAACACAATCCTAGTTGCCTGAGCCAACGTGGTGATTCAGTGACCTGATGGAGCTCAGCCATCCCTGACAGCTTCCCCATTCACTTTAATCCAGGTGGCAACTTCTGGCACACAAAACCGGCAGCATCTTAGGACAGTGGTTCTTAACCTTTGTTACTCAGATGCTTTTGAACTGTGACTCCCAGAAACCCAAGTCAGCACAGCAAGTGGTGAAGGCTTCTGGGAGTTGCAGTCCAAAACGCCTGAGTAACCCAAGGTTAAGAACCAGTGTCTTAGGATGCTGTTTCCATTTTAAAGGAGAGGAATGCATTGAGCTCCAGGGAGGCAATGTGAGCTCTGAACCATTTTCAACTTTGGTCTTGCTGGCTGAGGCATTGTGAGAATGTTAGTCCAAAACTATAACTTTCCCAAAATCTCTTCTGCTCTAAGGTCACCTCCTTTTTCTGTTGCTGCTGCTTCAAAGCTTCTGGGACAGAAGGGTAAAAAGGTAAAGGTTCCCCTTGACAATTTTTGTCCAGTCATGTTCGACTCTAGGGGGCGGTGCTCATCCCCATTTCCAAGCCATAGAGCCAGCGTTTGTCTGAAGACAATCTTCCGTAGTCACATGGCCAGTGCGACTTAGACACGGAACGCTGTTACCTTCCCACCGAGGTGGTCCCTATTTATCTACTTGCATTTGTATGCTTTCGAACCGCTAGGTTGGTGGGAGCTGGGACAAGCGATGGGAGCTCACTCCGTCGCGTGGATTCGATCTTACGACTGCTTGGTCTTCTGACCCTGCAGCACAAGGCTTCTGCGGTTTAGCCCGCAGCGCCACCACGTCCCACGCGCCACCACGCGTATGAATAGCTAAATTCTAGAATTTGCAATCTTGTCACAGACATACCAACTGATACACTTCTCAGTAACTAATTGTATAGGTCAGTGCAAGGTCTACCAGGATATAATTCTTGCATCTAGACCACACCTAACCATACCCAGAAAGAACGTCTGAAGCTCAATGGTCCTGGTTTGACAGGGAATGTAAGACCAAGAAAAAAGAGCTGAGAAGAGCAACAAGACAGGCGAAACATATTGGCACTGATGAAGCTACAGCTTTCCTGCAACATCTACTCAGAGAACCGGAAATCTTTGGGCCACACCCTCATTGAGGATAATGACCCCATATTCTGGAAGTAGATAGAAAGAGGCTTCTCACAGACAGCCTTTGAGATTGCCAAGTCCATCATACCATAGGTATGGGCCTCCCACTTCAGTTGCATTTTTCTACTGGCACTGATATTACACATGAGACCCTCTCTAATTCCCCTGAATGGCCACCTGTTTCCCCCAAAGAAGTTGGGGACCTGATTCAAACTCTTTGGAATGGCAAGGCTCCCGGTGAAGATATGATCCCTGCTGAGGTTTTTGCTATTAACATTCAGTGGTGATCTCCCATTCTAGCCAGTCTATTCACCTACAGGCAACCTTCCCACAGGCTGGCAAAATAGCATTGTTTTGCCAATTTTTAAGAAAGATGATCCTCTAGATTCTTGTAACTTTAGATTGATCAGTCTTCTCAATGTGGCCTCTAAGCTTTATGCTAGATACCTCCTGAATAGGCTTCTAGATTGGGACAACAAGCATTCTAACATCTCCGAAGAACAGGCAGGCGTCAGAAAAGGCAGAAGTACAATACATCAAGCCTTTGTTTTACATTATTTAATTAGTAAATACACCAAATCTCCAAACAAATATCTTTACACTGCCTTTGTGGATTTTTCATCAGCCTTTGACCTGATAGACAGGTATAAATTGGTATAAATTGGGAAAAACAAACATTGGTAAGAGACTCCTGTGGCTCATACAGCAACTACATAAAGAAAATATGATGCAAGTGCATATAGGCTTACAGGGAGCTCTATCACAACAGGTTTGCATTAGTCGAGGGGTGAAACAAGATTGTATTTTAGCACCTTTTCAGCTTTCATTCTTCCCTCCAACCATTGGCTGTAGGAAGATCTCAATACGGCTTTATGCTGATGACCTGGTTTTGCTATCTTTGAATAAAATTGGTCTTAAAAGAATGCTGTCCAGATTTGGGCAGCTCTGTAAAGAGGAACGACTATCAACTACACGAAAACAAAAATTATGGTCTGTGGGAAGAGAGCCCCTAAGCATAACTGGTCACTGGATGGGCATGCTGTTGAGCAGGTACACTCATTTAAATATTCGGTCCTTCAATTTTGTGAGAATCTCTCCTGGAGACAGTATTTAAATGCTACCATCTTATTGAGCACCAGATCAATAGGACAATTAAAAAGATTTTTCTGCAGCAGAGGCCAGCTAGTAAATCATGTCCTCAAGGTGTTTGTTGTCAAAATTTTAACACAAATGCTCTACGGGACAGAACTATGGGGGGAGGCAGCTAAGCCAAATTAGAAATCTTGCAGAACAAATTCATGAGGCTGATACTGGGGCTCCCCCCAGGAACTCCATTGGCTCACCTCAGAGTTGAGTTAGGCCTACCCTCAATTGCCACTAGAATTGATCTGGCTTATTTTAGATATTAGCATAGACTGAACAGTTTGGAGGACTCCTCCCTGACAAAGTGCTGCTGGTTAGAACAACTAAAGTCTGGTGGATGGGCACAACCATGTCACCAAAAATTAAAGGTCCACAACCTTCTGATGGAAAAGTTCCTTTGATTAAGCTCTCGTGACCTTAGGAACTGGATCTTTGATCTTGATGCTAGTCAGGATAGGGCGGTTATTGTTGGGTCCCGTTTTTCTACCTGGTATCCCCAACTTCAGGTGAATCATGCAAAACCAAATTATCTTGAGTCATTGACTTTTCCCCAGATCTGCAGAGCTTTTACAGAACTTAGATTTCGACAGATGGCCTCAGCATACCTCGAAGGGAGATATATAAAGGAACCTCAGCTGAGGAACAAAAATCTCTATAAATCTCTATAAAAATCCTAGAGAAAGATTTCTGTCACCCATCATTCAGATGTATTTTAACTGTACCACCACTGAAACAGTAGTAGGATTGCTTGCTGATGCACAGTTGCACACTACATATGCTGTAGCACAATTTGCACAAGCAGCTAAGAAGCTGAGGCCTTGATTTGTCAGGGATTGTAATGCCACATAAATGCTGAATACAGGGGACTGACGTTTTATGTTATGACAGTATTCTTAGACTGGATTTTATTGGTTTTAATGGTTTTAAGGTAATTACCTGTTTTAATTGGGTTTTATATGCTACAGTAGTCAGTACATTGTAAAGGTCTATGGCCAGAAACAATAAAGTTTATATGTATGTATCTGCAATGGCTCCCAATCTTGAGTAAACCAGGTATTTTTTGGACTGCAACTCCCAGAAACTCTGCCCAGTGCAGCTAGCGGTGACAGCTTCTGTGGCTGAACCACTGCAGTGGGGACCACCTCAATAGATGAATGGTTTCTCTTGGGAGCAAAGGCTTCTCAAGTCACATTCTCAAGTGTTATGGATTCCTTTCCCCACCCTTTCCCCTGGCCATGATTGCAGACTACCTAGTAGATGCAGATTGGTCTCTATACGAGTGGCTGATTGGAACAGCAGTTCTTCCCGGTTGTCAATAGCAGATTCTGCTTCAATGTGACTTTTTAACCAGTGAGAATAGTCCTCCTTACTCAGCACCTGTTGGAAAACAAAAGCAAGTAGTGAAGTCATCATACTGACAAAGTATAAACTAAGGCCAGAACACAGGGTGTTTTTTTATTTTTTTGCCAATTCTGCTGGACTGAATCGGCTAAAGGCTAACAATCCAGTTAAAACCTCCACTGAGGCAGCCAGTCACTGAGGGAAAGCTTGCCTGAAGAGAAAAGCCTTTGCCTGTGTGTAGAAGGACAGCAAAATTGGGGCCAGCCTAGCCTCCTGTGGGAACTGTTAGTTCCAACTAGAGAAGACCCAGTGGCTGAAGCTGTGTTGCTCAGCTCCACATGTTCAACCATGATGGCATCAGTAGTAGTGGCAAATTGATGCTGATTAAAGCCTTTTTGGGGGGCATTTCAGGGTGCACATGGTACATGGTGTATGAGCTGTGTTCATCTCAGAATCACTGTTAACCAGTCAGCAGCAATTGGCTTTGGATCAGCAGTGGATGGTTTGTTCCTATGATGTCCTCCTCACTGTTGCACACTTCCATGTGCAACAGTGATGATGGCATACAAGCAGAGTGGTGCAACAGGATGTGTGGCATGATTGCAGGAGCTGTGCAACAGCCACTGAACTAACTGAATGTATGTAAAGTGCTCACTTGACAAATACCCATTGATTCAGTGAATCTATTCTAGCTGGCACTAAGAACTGAATTTAGGCCAAAATACTTTGCTGTGTGAAACAAAATATGAAAAACAAACATAGAAGTGGAAGATCTCACTGGAAAGCAATTTATGGGCAGTGGCAGGTGCTTACTTTCTTTGCAATACACAAAGTCCTCAGTCCATCAGCAGCATAAAGGTTAAGGAAATTCTGAGTTTTGCTTCGGATTTTCTTCTGGTGTTTGTCTCTAGGGTCATCTAGAAAAAAAATGAAAGAACACACAACTCTTTATATTAAAACATACCAGTAATTCAGAGCTCCTC